CACACACACACACACACACACACACACACACACAAAAGCACACGAGGGGGAAAAAAAAGAAATAGAGAAAAAATCGATCCTCGTGGCGCTGCCACGCGGCGCGATTTTGGGCCTTCCACACTCCACCTTAGCCCTGCCCCCTTCCCCGTCCCCCCATCCTTCCCCCAACCATGACACGTACCGCTATCCCTCCCACTCTTCCCCTCTGTCACTGTACCATCCTTACCCCTCGACTCTCCCTTCCCTCCCATGACGTTGTGCCATGCGCTCCCTCCTCCTCTTCCTCCAACTCCACCCGCGCTATCGCTCTGCGCCTCTTCAAATTCTTTCCTCCCCCAGTCCTACTGTGGCTTCTGCTGCACCTCTCTCTCCTCCTTTCCCCAATTCTCACGCGCCCCTCTTCATTCTCCTCCTCTCACCAATCCATTTGTCTCTCTCTCTCTCTCTCTCTCTCTCTCCACCTTCGCCTGACCTCTTCCCTTGCTCCGTACCCCACCCAACCTCCGCCCTCCCTCCTCCGTCCATCTGCCCTCCCTCCTCCCGACTTCACCCTGCCATCTTTCCCCTTCCTCACGGCCTCCTTCCGCCTCCTCTTCCTCTTCACGCTTTTTCCCATGCTTGTCTCCCCCTTACCTCTTCCCTTCCTCCATACGTCACTCAACCTCTAAACTACCTTCTGCTTTCTGTCCTCCCTCCGCCCTACTCCCTGCCGCCTCCTTTTCCTCCCGGCCTCCTCTGGACCTTCTCTCAAAACCTCCCTCTGCCCTCCCTTCGCCTGGCCACCTCACTCCCCTTCCTTCGCCCAATCTCCGCCTGACCTCCTTCCCTCTATATCCTCCTCCTTCCCTCTATACCCTCCGTCCTACTCCTTCCTCCGCCCGATATGCACTGACCACCTCCTTCCCCAAATCTCCTTCCTCCCCTTCCTTCCTTGGCCCGATCTCCACCTGACCTCCTGCTTCCGCCCTACTCTCCGCCGCCTTTCCCCTGCCTACAGGCCGCCTCTGCACCTTCTCTTCACCCTCCCTCTGGCCTCCGTCCGCCTGGCCGCCTCATTCCCCTTCGTTCGCCCCCTTCGTTCGCCCGATCTCTGTCTGACCTCCTCATTCCCCCGATCTCCTTCCTCCCCTTCCTTCCTCAGCCCGATCACCACCTGACCTGCTACTTCCATTCCTCCCTCCGTCCTACTCCCTACCTCCCCTTTCCTCCCTCGACCGGCCGCCCCTCTGTAACGCCCGACCTAAGAAATATTTCTTTTTATCCGGTGGACGTAAACGCTCCATCTGTTATCGAGATCGCTCCATTTCTTTTAAGATCTCAACACGGTTGCACACGCGCAAGGAGGAGAGAGGGACAGCAGGAGAGAGAAAACGCATTTCACCTAACACACTTCCTCCTCTCTCTCTTCCCTCCTCGCACCTTCTTTGTCCTTGTCTGTCTCCTCCACCACCAAACGTACGTCTTCTGCCTCCTCACGATCTTCCTCCTCAGCATTCTCCATCGGTCTTTTATCTTTGCACCGGCCATACGATCAACTGCCTTGCGCCAGGTATTTCAGGCTATAAATATTTCTTTCCATATTTCACTCTCTTCCTCCCCAATCCGTACACACACCACACTGAGTCAGGTCTCTCTCTCTCTCTCTCTCTCTCTCTCTCTCTCTCTCTCTCTCTCTCTCTCTCTCTCTCTCTCTCTCTCTCTCTCCCCACATCCATCCACACCCCTCGCTGTGTGCGTCTATGTGCGACCGCACGCGCGAGAGCACACCCTCGCTCTTATTCACATTGAAAAAAAAAGTGGCGCTAAGCCTTAACGCAAATTGAGAAAGCCAAGAAAAACGGAATGCACTCTCTATATCGTCCCCAGATAAGGGAGCACGAAGCGAGGGAGGACGGAGGGCCGAGGAAGGTAACGCCACCGGAGGAAGGAGGGAGAAGGCGAGGGAGGGAAGAAGGAAGGAGAAAGGGAGGAAGGAGGGAGAGTCGCTGGGGCAGGGGTGAGGGAGGGAGGAGAGGGGGTCGAGGCAGGAATGGAGGACGGGCCGAGGGAGGGAGGAGAGAGGATCTAGGCAGGAATGGAGGACGGGCCTAAGGAGGAGGGATGGTGATGGTGCCTCTGGTGCCTCTCTCTCTCTCTCTCTCTCTCTCTCTCTCTCTCTCTCTCTCTCTCTCTCTCTCGGCCCCCCCCTGCCCAAAAAAGAGAAGGAATGCAAGGTTTCCTTTATGTTTTTTTAAAAAGGGGTTGGGGCTGTGGGTTCGAGATGAAGTAGAAACACTCACTCTAGCAGGAATCCACGTCGAAGCTCGCGTCGGAGCACTTAGCAGGAACTCACCATCCACGCGCGAACTACCGATCCACGCAGCACCGATTCACGCAAACACCAACTCACAAAGTACGAAGCACCAAACCACTAAGCGCGGAGCGCGGAGCGCGGAGCATCAAGTCGCATGGACCAATGATTCACGAACCATGAAGCGCGCAGCACCATGCACCGAATTCACCACGAACCCACGATGCACCAAGCAGCGAATTCACGATGCTCCAAGCACCGAATCCACGAAGAAGCAAGGACGAAGCTCGACGCATGAAACACAGAATCCACAATGCTTCACGGAAGCACCAAGCACGTAGCACACCAAATTCGCGATGCAATTCGCGAAGCACCAAGCACCGAATTCATGTAGAACATCGACTCACGAACCAGAAAGCACCGAAGCACGACCAGCGGGGGGGAGGGAGGGGAAGAGAGAGAGCACCGAAGCACAGACCACATTACGAAACACCAAAGCGGAAGGCCGGGGGCGCGGGGAGAGAGAGAGAGAGAGAGAGAGAGAGATTGCAGCGGGACTAAGCACGTGGAATAGGTGGGAGTAGACGCGAGAGTAGCGAGTAGACAAAAGCAGGTCCGGGAGTAGGCGCGGGAGTAGGCGTAGTCGCGTCGAGTACCAGCTGCCCACAAAAACCCGAATCCATCGAAAACCAACAAAAAGCGGCCGGGCCTTTCGTGGGCTGGCCGGGCCGTTCGACCGTGGGCGGCCGTTTGAGGCCAACCGGTAACTTTTCCTGCGAACGGCCCAGATTGCAGGCCGACGACAACCACGGACGGCCTAGATCTCAGCGCGATGAGAAAAGTTTCTCATCGCGCTGAGATCTAGGCCGTCCGTGGTTGTCACCGGCCTGCAATCTGGGCCGTTCCCTATGTCACTTAGGAGTTTCTATAGGGTTGTAGATATCTAATTGTATCATAATAATTGTATCATATTTAATGTTTAATATCACTTATAATGTTTACTATAAATTCATGTTATCATTTACAGTAATATTATCAGATCATATATTGAAACTTAATATAGCATGTTATACATCATGTATTGTATCATATCTACTGTATAATACAATTGCATGGGTCCTGGGGACCATCTCACGCAAGAGTGTACATGTCATGCATCATACTCTACACAATGATCAGAAGACTCACACATTAGACAAAGGTAGATGAGAAGAGAACCGAGTTACACAGCTTGTATTATTAAAAATATGTTTACAAAGAGTTCCATCACTCATCAGCGCAATGCAAATCCCTCATCAATTCATTACTGCGACTTCAACTCATCAGCGCCACCTCTGCAGTTCATACCCAACTCAGGTGAGTATCCTTCATAGCCAAACGTTGATTGAACACTCTCGGTCTCAGTCCCTTCCTCCTACGATGCATACACACTCTTTTCTCATAAGGATCTACTCTGAATGCTACTCATAGCTATCTACTACTAACCCTCTAAGTCTATACTAACTTGCTGGGCAGCTATAGCTGCATCTCTCCCAGCGCACAGTCTTCTTCCTTCTCTTAGCGCATCTTCATCCTCCAGCGCTGCTCCTACTGACTGGCGCACAAGTGCTTCGGCACTTCCACGCGCAGAATGCCAGTGGAGATCTAGCGTGCAATGAGGCTGGCTGCTTCCTTTATAGTGCTGGCCTCCACACGCTGGGTCTGTATTGGCTGCTTCAGGCCTTCCTTTGTCCCAGACCCTGCATTGCATGTGTCCCAGTACTTGTCCCAATGAAGTTAACTGCTGTTGAGGCCTCTCGGCCTAGATTTGGACTTGGATATCTGGATTTGGACTGTCCCCTAGACTTAGACCAGAACTGGGACTCTGCTTATTGTCTTACTTCTGAACAGGCACAACTTTGGACGAACAGACACACTTACTGCCTGAACAGACACTCATACTGTGTGAATAGACATTTTCATTTGCACGAACAGACACATTGACTGCACATACAGACACACCCTTATCTGAACAGACATAACATACATCACTTGGCGAACAGGTATGTCTTTCAGCAATAACCTTTGACACTAGCTTTTGGCTTAGATTTAGATGTGTCCTTTGATAGAGAACTCGCCCGTTGGTCTGCTTTCTCGTGTCCTGGGTCCTGGAGAGATACCCCTTCACGCTGCTTTACTTTTATGAGGCCTGTATCGGGTATCGGGTAAAGGCCCCTTTACTCTCGCCGGCCTAATTTCGAAGTCCTCTGAGAATCATTTACCTATCAATGATATGAATTCCTTTCTTCGCTCTTTCATATGCAAACACAATTTGAGGTGCAGAATCCATTAATTCCTCTCTGGTAAACCAGCGATCTTCACTGGGATTCTGGTATTCAAATCTGACCTTGTATTGACGTTGTGGTCTGCCTCTACGACCAGTGTGAAAAGTATTTTCTGCAATGATCCTTTCCACGTCATAGGAACCTCAATAACATACGAAGGACCATCCACATCTCCAATCACATCTAAGACTTGCCAAGGCCCTCTGTAGGCGGGTAGGAGCTTCTGATAAATGTTTTCTTCAGAAGCGAACTCCTTAGACTTTACCCAAATTAAGTCTCCTACAGCAAATTGAGACGGTCGTCTATGCTTATTCGATTGTTCAATCATCTGATGTTGTGCTTTGAGTATGTTTTCCTTTACTTTCTCAATGTCTTTCAGATACTGAATTGCAAATTCACCAGTTCCTAAAGGAAGCTTATGTACTTGATCCGGGTTTAGTCGATCAATGGGTCTGCGTGGACGCCATCCCAGATGTAACTCCATAGGAGTCTTACATGTAGATAGATGTACAGAGTTATTGTAGGCACTAACAACTTTAGGCAGATGTTCATCCCAGTCAATCTGATCAAGACGAATGTACATACGCAAAGTCTGTTGCAGTATCTTGTTCATCTGCTCAGTCTGGCCATTAGTCTCATGATGTCTGCCTGATGACATAGTCAACTTAGAGCCATATACATTCATTAGTTGCTGCCACTGTTCACTTGTGAACCTGGTATCTCTGTCAGTTACGATAGTCAAGGGATGTTCAAAATCTTTTACCCAATGGTTAAAGAACTCCCGAATTACCAACTCAATCTTCGCTTCCGAAGGCAAAGCAACAAAAACAACATACTTAGTAAATCTATCCACTATGACCATTACTTGCGTTTTCCCATTTTTGCTTTTTACCTTAGTATTTATGAAGTCTATAGACACAGAGTCTCCAGGGCCTGTAAGGATAGGTCAAGGCTTAAGTAACCCAAGGGGAGATTGCGTGGTGCTTTTGTTTCTCTGGCACACTTGACAACCTTGCGCATATGCGATACAGTCTGCTTTCATTCGAGGCCAGGTGTAGGAACGCAACAAAGTCCCATAAATCTTCTTCCACCTAAAATGGCCTTCGGTATCATGACATTCCTCTAAAATCAAACTTTTGATCTCTTCATTATTCAGTATGCAAAGCCTATCATTCACATCAGTCCTTTCAAATAATAGACCCTGAGTAACCTTGTGATCAGGGAACTCTGCTGGTACTTCTTGTACTCTCTAGACAGGATAAGAGGGATACGCATTCCTAATCTTTTCTTGCAGATCAGCACCAACATCTAGATATGTTACAATGGCACCGAAAAAATCAGATCTACGACTTAATGCATCAACAACAACATTATATTTACCCTTTACTGACTTTAGGTCAAAGTCAAACATATCAATCTCCGCAGCCCACCTTGTTAACTTAGGTGTCGTTCGAGCCTGCGTTTTGAGCCAGCGAATTGTCTCATGGTCGGAGTATACTTTAAAATGTCTTCCTATAAGATAGTGTCGCCAATGATTCAGAGCCTCACGAAAAGCATACAACTCTCTTTCATACGTCGAGGCGGCCACTTTTTCATTAGGGAACCGGCAAGACATAAACTCCACATGTCTGTATCCATGTCCATCATCTTGTTGGAGTACAATACCTATGTCATATTGACTAGCGTCGGTTGTGACCACAAAAGGTAAGGAAAGGTCCGCCACTTTCAGAACCGGATAGTTGATCAAACACTTTTTCAAACGCTTAAATGACATTGTACAGTCTGAATCCTACTTCCAGATCACTTCTTTCTTGAGAAACCTGCGAAGGGGAGCAACTATTATCGTAAAGTGTCTCACGAACTTTCGATAATAGTTGGCTAACCCAAGGAACGACTGCAACTCAGTCAGGGTGCGGGGGTTCGGCCAATCTCTGATTGCTGCTATTTTAGCATCTTCCGGTTTGACCCCATCTCCATCAATTACATGTCCCAAATATAGAACCTGACGCTTAGCCCATTCACATTTCTTTGGGTTTAGCTTGAGTTTTGCTTCTCGCAATTTATTTAGCACAAGTCAAAGGTGCTCAACATGCTCTTTTTCGTCTTTACTAAAAATCAAAATATCATCTAGGTAGATAACAACAAATTTGTCAAGCCATTCACGAAATAGTTCATTCATCGGTTTTTGGAAAGTGGCAGGGGCATTCGTGAGACCAAAGGGCAAAACTACGAACTCATAATGCCCATACCTTGTTCTGAAGGCAGTCTTATGTTGATCTTCCGGCTCTACCTCAATCTGATGGTAGTCGGACTTCAAATCAATTTTCGAAAATATTGTGCAACCCTGCACGCGATCCAACAAATCGTCTATTCGCGGTAACGGTTCAGCATTCTTTACTGTTATATCATTTAATCTCCTATAGTCTATACACATGCGAACGACGCCATCCTTCTTAGGTACAAAAAGCACAGGCGCACCATAGGGCGAGGAACTAGATCTTATCCATCAATTTTTCAACAACTCATCGAGTTGGGTTCGCAGCTCATCCAATTCTTGGGGTGACATACGATAGATAGACCCCTTAGGAGGTGAACTCTTTGGAATGATATCAATGCGATGTTTGATGGGTCTTTCTACCACACCGCTTGGGGCTTCAGCCACATCGGCGAACTCTTTCAAGATTCTTTGAATTTCTTGAGACTTGACTTTTTCCTTACTTTCCCCTTCCTTTACTGGGCGCACATATGCAACAAAGACTTGATCATACAAGTTATATTTCCGTACATGGCGAGCGAACGCGAGGGCACTCATGCAACAATGAGCTAGGCTGCTTTCCTTTCCAGACTCATGATAGAATCGAATTTTCTTTTTACCTCCTTGCGAACTTGGGAGTCAACATTCATGTTCCCTAAACTTTAAATCCGCATTAGCAGCGTCTCCCCAATCCATACCTAACAACACATCAAATGGCAAGTTATCCTCCACCAAGAAGGTCAGAGAGTGGAGAACACGTTCCAC